TAGACACACACAAAAACAACATTTATAATGAGACCAAAATTCAGAATTATTTTTTCCCATTGCCAGTCCTCATTGTCATCCTTAAGTGCCCAAACACTTTGGGTTATTCCATCTATCAGACAAAGTCCCAATGCCAATGACAAACTCACCAGCAACTAAGGAGAATCAGTTAAGTTTTAGGAGTCGAGTGCTTGAACCCACAACATCTGAACTCCTACTGCCTTTTGCTGTCTGCAGCCACTTGTGGGAAGGCAGTTACCCTTAACACTTAGAAATAACCTTAAAGTACAATTAAACACCCGAAAATTCTACAATGTAAAACTTCCAACCTACACCCTTTTTTTAATAAGATATAAAAAGCAAAAGATATTATTATAGTAGAAATAAACCATTTTATATTTCCACAAAACTCCCAACTTCCACCCATTTATTTAATAATTAGTGATGCTAAACAGATCTAATGGCCACAGACATTATCCATTATGACTTAAGAATGACAACAAAAACTGGTAATGGAAGAATAATTCTGTATTTTGGTCTCATTATAATGTTGTTTTTGTTTTGTATTAAGTTCATTATTGTTTTATAGTGTTGATTTTAATTGTCTATGGACATTTAATGTATTTAATAGCATTAGATTTATTGATTTATATATATATATATATATATTCAGAAAAGTACTTTCAACACCATTTAAATGGGCTAATGTAAAATACACGAGCTAGTGACAGCAATTTATATGTGAAACTATATATACTATAGCTCTCAGCATTGTTAATGTATCTTCACAAAAACTGGTAAAATATTATTAAAAATTACAAGCATTTTGTACACAAAGAATATGATTTTTGCAATTAAGTATTTCTACTGAAGATTTATTTCTGAATTTATTTTAATCAATTTCCCACAGACTCTGGCTAGTCTACTAATTTTTTCATCTTACAGTTTTCAAATTTCATTTGAATAAACTCTACAGCCTCCTAAATGGACATTAAAAGTTTTTTAAGATAAATGTTTATATTTGGTATTTTATATTCTCTACTGTAACAGTAACTGGAGCTATTATCATCAATGTACAATGTAGTGAAATTTTTAAAAATAAGAAATAAAAATGTGTACATACTTTCAATTAAGTGACAATTAATCTGAAAAAATATCTTCTTATGGTTATATTTGTAATTTCACCTCTTTACCTTTTCACATACAGTTAATTTTTATAATGTTATAGTGTTCTTGTCTGTCCTTTAACATTTATTATTCATCTTGATAAAGCACAAGAAAAGACCCAGTACTATTGACAGAGACAAGTAAGCTTTCGGTTAAATGTTTTTCAAAAAGCGTAATAAGGTGAGGCTTGGGTTATATTAAAAAAAATATTAATCCTTTCAAATATGCCTTTTAAAACAAAAATAATACATAATTCACTAAAATATAAAAGTAAGACCTAAAATATTTAACTTCTTATCCAACTAATGTCTATCTAGGAAAGAAAAATGCTATGGAGGATGAAACACCTTCACCATTCTGGAAGTTAGTTGTACTTGTTAACAATTATTGAATGCCAACATTGGGAGCATGTATTTTAAAATAGGCTCTTTCTATTCATTATAAACATGTAAGAGAAATAAGCACATTGTCAAAAACTTACTTTTTTAGCAGTGTATATAGTACTGTAAATATATGGGTGCATTGGGCTAAGGATTCTTCTATTGTAGATGTCTATGACTTGTCGGCAATAAATGAACAACACGCACTCCACTTGTTTTTAAAATAAGATATGTATTCAAAACAAATTAAACGTATGTACAAAATTCTTTACACTACGGAGATCATAGTTGTATCTTAAACACTATACATTTCTCTTATTCTTGTCAAAAGTCCACTCAGGCCAATTCAATGGCTTCAGAATTCAGTTGACAAGCCAAACTATTTTTCTCTATTCCTATCGCAATAGTATCCATGCATAATTCATTTAAGCTATCACGAGTTACTACAGTTGTATCCTGAACTTCGAATAATCATCTGCCTTTTGTCAAAGTCCACACAGGATGGTTCAATTAGTTTAGAACACCCTTTGATGAGACAAATTATTCTCCTTTTCTCTTTCAAACTATTAACCTCACTCTAACATATCAACCTTTAGGCCATTCACTCCCACAACGGTAAGTTTAATGTTTTCTAGCTTTTCATTGACTGAACTTCTCTTTCACATGACTTTACTCTCTTTCTGCTCATTTGGTGACACTTATTATCTATCTATCACTTAGGGCTTCTAGAAATCTCCATAGTCTTGACATCAATGGATTGTAAACACAATGTTCAATAGCCATGACATCAATGAATTATACACACAAAATTAATTCATTAATAATACTACCTACACTAAACAGTGTTTTATATCTAACAAACATGTTGTTTGGAAATCTCAATTCTCAGTTATCAAGTGGGAGTGGCTTCTGTCACAAAGTGGCAAACATTATTTTTTGTGTACAGTAAATAGAACCAAAGGACTTTGAAACAAGCACACTTAAGTAAGGTAATAAACATAGATTGTGTCTAGACAAACATATACAGTATAAGTCTAGAATTATTCAGCTAATACAAACTAAAAGTTAAGAATTGTGAGCACACGTACATTATATGACAACAAAATACTTTCATTTGAAATCAAGGTATTAAAACTCAGATAATATAAATCTTTGAATTATAAACTCCTTGTTAATGTTACTGCCAAACACTGAGAGCAAATTTGTTTAACCCTTTCAAGACAGATCACGGGTGAAAGGCCATGTCATCTCATTTGTTGACTTGCATTCAAAATTTTATTGAACTACTATTTCATGAATTTATGTCAATAACTTTGGTATTAAATTGTAGATTATAATTCAAATTTTAGTACTATATATTACTCAATTTCTTAGTTTAAAATCAAATATTAAAAAAACAGATAAACATCGATTTTTGTGTGACATGTGGTTTGTTGAATGCAGCACTGTTTCAATTATAGTTTCATACGAATTAGAAACTCAAACTACCGATATTGACAAGCTAGAATATAAAATAAGAGCCTCTTATCTTTTCAATTTGGTTAGATATTGCTCATGTAATAAATCAAACACAGTGGAACCCCACCCACTTCTTTCCATTTTTGGAAATGCTCCATTAAATACAGTTACTTTTATATATCACATGAATAACCAATCAGAAGCCCAGAATGTCCCCTAGTGGCTCTCTCAGCCATTTTAACAATCTTGGTGCCAATTCTTTCTTTTGAACCAATATTTCAATGAGATAGGGTGTGTCTTTAGTCTGATCGAAATTTCATATTTTTTTAGACTAAAATACATCTTAGTTATTAATCTTGATACATTATAGTGGAATTCTATGGTATTAATGTAGTCATTTATCAATTTTTAGTTATTCAAATGTATATATAAAACGTAAAAAAACACATATTTTGTTTCATATCCTCCACATGCAAAAATTGTAAAGGCTTAGCAATCAATATCAAGCAGCAACCAAGTACAAAGGTTGTAACTAGAAGAGATAATTGTTTGCTTTTACTTCTTTAGTTACTGTTCTATGTTTTAAGAAAAATCAGTTTACAACTTATTTCAAAATAGCAATAATCTATGTACATATATAATGTATAATAATTGAAATGTGACTGTATTTTACAAAATACTAGTCTACTACAACACAGCCAAAACAAGTTACTTTGAACAGACCAAAGGTCAGTTTTATGTTATTTGATATAGTAATATGAGTGCACGTGAACCGTGTCATTGTAACTTCTGTATTGTTAGCCAGGCACAGCTGAAAGGTCAATATAATAAAAATAATAAATAAATATAAATGTATAATGTTATAAGATTTAAGCTATTTAGTCTAGACATTTATGTTTTTATGTTATAATTTGTGTTCATTCTA